ATTTTTTTTTTTTCAGATAAACACGCTTAGCCCACAAAAGAGTCGGCCTGTCTCTTTTAAAGCTAGAGGCAGGCTTAGCTGCCGAGAAAGAGATTTTGAGCCGCAATCAGGCTCACAGAAAAGGCAGCCTCCTCGAAGATGAGGCCAACACATCTGTACACATCTGCCCCCTTAACCTCAGGGACAGCGATCTTACTTGGCGCCTTGCAGCGCTTCACGTAACCCCTGAGCGCACAATACTCATTTGCCCTCAACTTTAAACCCACGAGGCTTATTCGGGAGAAACGGGAACCAGGGCCTACCCCAGGATATAATGTGGCAGGAAACTTTCCTCCCACCCCCCACTCCACCCCCCAGAAGTAGGAGATTGTTTCAGATGCTTTAAAAGGCGTCAGCCAAAGTCGAATTTCGGCCCTGGGGACATCAGGGTCCAGGGGGATTCACTTTATCTGTTCCAATTTCCTCTGGAGAATCAAATCTCATCTCCTCCCTGGTGACAGTGCCCACAGCTCAACCTTCGTGAGAGCAAAACCTCTCTCTTTAGAGGTCCCGTTTTTCTTTAAAGGAAAAGGTGGGGGTGGGGGCGAGGGACTGGAAAAAGGCTGGGAGAAAGAGAAAGAGTAAAGGAAGACAGAAGAGGACGACGAGGGACAAGGAAGGGAGAGCCTGCAGCATGGAGGCAGCGGGCCCGAGTTCTCCCCTGAAGCCGGGCAGTCAGCCCTAGCAAAGGGCGGGAGGGGAGTGGCGCTCGGGTCCTAGCTCCTTCTAGAGCGGCGGCCGGGCGGACCAGGAGCAGCTGGAAGCTGCTGGCCAATGTTTAACTCGGGGCCCCGGCGTGGTGGCCACCGGTTCCTCTTTGTTTGCTCGCAAATTAATCATCCCTTGCGCAGTCGGCGCCAGGCTGGATTTATCACACTTGGGGAGGGGGGCTCGGCGGCCGGGGAGAGACAAAGGGAGTTCGCACCTTCCAGCTTTTGATCTCCGATTAGTGCGGCCTCCCTGTATAATACGAGTCTCCAGGGGCCCAGTCTGGGAGGTCAGTCGTAATTGGCGGAAGTTTGTAGGCCATTAGCAAGACGGCGACATTTTAAAAATCATAATCCGCAAACTTTCACCCCCCTCCTCCCCTTTAGTGCCAGGAGGGGCTGCAGGGGTTGGTGAGGAAAGGACCCTGGGGACTGGAGCAAACCCTGATTCTGGGCCTCAGAGAGAGAAGATAGAGGTTGGAAGTAACCTGGTCTTTACCGTTTTTAAGGAGAGGGCCCTGAGCTATCTAACCAACAGGGAGCGCCCAGCTCTCAGCTACGCGAGAGAAATGTTTCAATCCAAGCCCCCTCACTCCCCATGCCCCTCAATCTGTGGCAATGAACGGAAGGCCCAAGGATCTGGATGGAACGAGTCTTTCCCCCTCGATTGGGAAGCAGGAGGGCAGAGTGGGTGGGTGGCAAGAGAGTGGGAGACAGAGTCAGCTTGCATTCGTCAAGTCCGTTTCCAGAAGGTCTCCTTGGCTGGCCCGGGACTGCGGCGTGGAGGTGGGGGAGAAGATGATCGCGTGCACTTGGGGGGATGCACTTGAAATTGGGCAGGAATAACCGAGCAAAGCCGGACTTTGAACTAGACCAGGAGAGAATCAGGAAGCACCAGGTCCTCTGGAGAAGAGGTCATGACAGTTGTGGCCCACCTGAAAACATCCTGAAGCCGGCCCCAAATAGTAATTCTCATTACAAATGGTAACATGGGAAATGGTGGGGACCCTAGAATCCCTAAGTCACAAACAACCCAGCTGCCCCTTTCAGGAGCTCCCGAACTCACTGTCTTAACCGCCGTCTCGAGAAACGACGGAAAGGTTAGAGCTTGTAGGAAATAACTCCAAGTCTCCAAGTTTTTTTTTTTTTCTCTCTCTCTCTTCCTTCCCTAAACTCCACATACTTTGGGGGAGGGGGAGAGAGAGAGAGAGAGAGAGAGAGAGAGAGAGAGAGAGAGAGAGAGAGAGAGA